GCCCCCACTCCCAAGAATTCTCTTTCTCACAGGTGGGAGTGGTCTTGGGCAGCTGGAATCCCCACAGCTTGGCAGGTGTTGGCTCCACGCTGCCCCGCTCCTGACCTGGGGGATGGTCCTCAGCTCCTCCCCAAGGCCTTGCTGCTCCCTGACTATCCCTGGGCCTGCTCCCACCCTGGCTTTGTCCCAGGCCAGTGCCCATGGGCCCCCAAGAGGAATGTCGGGGGGTTGCTTGCTCTTGGCTGCAGTGGGATGAGAGTGTGCTTCCCCGGGAGTGATGCGGCCCCGCTACGTCCAGCCTCAGGCCCCTGGGCCCGTGGGGCCCCTGGGCTGCGCTGGGGTCGGTGCGTCTGGATCTGGCCAAGCGGGTGAAGGCTGAGCGTGGTCAGAGTTGAGCCTCTGCCTTCTACCCTTCCCCGGGGTGGGGGCTGGGTGCCATGTCATGCCAGGCCCAGTGACTCACAGATCAGGGCGGGCAGTTGGGAAATATGGGCAGAGGGTAAGTCGTGGCCCCAGCTGTCTGCCCTCCCAGCAGCCCCTCTCTCCCCAGGAGCAGGTGGCAGAAGCCCCAGCTGTGGGCCAGGCTCCATGGTGGACACTGAGACTCCTCTAGGGTAGAAAGGGGTGCCGAGAGTCTGTGCCGTGGACCCTGGGTCTGGAGCCCTGGGGAGTGTGCAAAGCCCAGGAGTGCTGGCCCCTGACCCTTGCCCTGCTGCTCCAGGTGAGGCTGGTGCCAACATCATTGAGGTGTCGAAGGAGGCCCGGAAGCGGTTCTTGGGCCCACTGCACCCCTCCTTCAACCTGGTGAAGATCATTCGGGGCTGCCTGCTGAAGACCCTGCCTGCTGACGGCCACAAGCGCGCCAGCGGCCGCCTGGGCATCTCCCTGACCCGCGTCTCCGATGGCGAGAACGTCATTATAACCCACTTCAACTCCAAGGAGGAGCTCATCCAGGTGGGCCCTGGGGGCCACACTGGGGGTTCAGTAGGGACTCCAAGGCCCCTGCTCACTGTCTCCCTCTGTCCCTGCCCCACAGGCCAACGTCTGCAGCACTTTCATCCCTGTGTACTGTGGCCTCATCCCTCCTTCCCTCCAGGGGGTAGTGAGTATCTCCTGGGCACCTTTCATGGGTGACAAGAGCCGGCTCCTCTATGGGCTGGGGGACAGGGAGGCGGGGAGGAAGCCATCTGTGCCTCCCCACCCCGGCCCCTCACTCCTGCCTCTGCCCGTTGCCTCACTTCCCCCAGCGTTACTCAAGAGCCAGGCCAGCCCTGCGCAGATGCACCTTTCCTGTGGCTGTTCCCCACCCCCCACTGTCTGGCCATCTGCTCAGTGGCCAGTGCCCAGTGGGTGAAACGCCCAAATGAAATAGCCACTGGGGG